AGCGGTCGAAAGTGTCAGTCTGGCGGAAAACAAGCTCGGCAATATCAACTCCGTGACAACCCTTGCACAATCTTTCCCCGATATCCAATATCTAGACCTCTCGAAGAACGACATCAAAAATTCGCAGGCGATGATTGGATGGCGCTGGAAATTCCGTAACCTCATCTTCCTCGACTTGACTGAGAACGAGATCAGTTCCGACCCAACTTTCAAGGACACTATGCTCAAGTGGTATCCCAAGCTGCAAACCTTGAACAACGTCCAAGTGCGAACCCCGGAAGAGGTCGCGGCTCAGAAGAAGACACCGATCCCCGTCTTGCCCCCTCACTTCATTGACGAATCTCAAGTCGGCGAGAACTTCGTTCGTGCTTTCTTCCCTGGCTATGACAACGATCGCAACAGCCTCGTCAGCAGCGTCTACGATGATGAGTCCACTTTCTCCCTAAATGTAAACACCACCGCTCCCCGGGCCGGTCAAACCGAGCAGGCAGGTTGGGGTGAATACATCAGAAAGAGCCGAAATCTCGACAAGATCAGCCACCTTTCCGCACGCATGTCCCGCTCCTTCAAGGGCATTGAGAAAATCCGTGAAGTTTTCAATGCGCTCCCGCCCACTCGCCACCCTGACCTTATCGCAAAGGCAGAGCAATGGCTGGTTGAATGTCACCCGGTCCCCCATCTCCCCGACCCTACTGGACAGAGCCCCACTGGCGTTGGTGGTCTCTCTCTCATGGTGCATGGACAACTTGAGGAGAGCGTTGGTGGCAAGATTGAGATCCGCAGCTTCGATCGAACCTTTATTCTTGGCCCCGGTAAGACACCCGGTGGCATCCGAGTTGTCAGCGAGATTTTCTGCCTGCGCGCTTTCGGTGGACATGAGGCATGGTCCCCTGAAATTCAGGCACTTTCCCAGGTGCCCGACGTTGCAGCTCCAGGTCCTGTTCCCACTGCGGTCCCTATACCCCCCACAGTCTCTGCAGCTGCCCCGAGTGTTGCTGAAGGATATGGTTTGCCCCGACCCGGAAAGTCCGACACCCAGCTTCAGCAGGAGCAGATGGTCACTCAGATGAGTGCCAAGTCGGGTATGACTTTCGAATACTCAGAGATGGCCCTCGCAGGCAATGGCTGGAATGTCGAGCTTGCTTGGAAGAACTTTGAACAGCTCAAGGTAAGCTAGTTACAAGAATGGTCCCTTAAATGGCACGGAGTGATAACTAACGAGACTCTACAATAGGCAACAAACGCACTTCCTCCCACCGCTTTTCTCGCTCCGGCCTGAGCACTTGATGAGCACTTGCTGTTCTCTGGTTTCATTGAAACCTTCCACGCCCACTCCCACTTCTGTTGTTGTTAGCTAGTCAGTTTTATCTTTGGAGTGGTGTTGTGGAAGCATAATGCATCTTATGTGACCATACTTCTTTTACTTGCATGGCTTGGGCGAATGGCACTGGTTTGATAGTTTCGAAATCTGGACATGGGCCATTGGGCCAGGAACTTTTACGAAAACAAATAAACCCCCAAAAAAATCAATCAAATGAATACTCTGTTCCAATTTTCCACCCAGAATATAAATAGGAAAGTGTAGACTTAAGAATCTCTAGGATTATATCTCTGTAATTGCTTAAAGAACAGCCCTGTGAGGATTGCGGCAGTTGCGGAAGATGCCAAGCTGGCGCGCTAGAGCCATGCGGGCTGCGATCAACATCCCCCATTCAACCTCTCCCTCCCACGAATTCCGCATTGGCCTCACAAAGAGCAAGTTGAGACCAAGGGCAGGATGATTCTGGTGAGCTGATGGAATGACGATCACTGCCACAACCACCGGCCACATGTCGCCAAACGAGGAACCAAGCCTCGACGCCTTGGATGCGGGTGCGGAACAATTGACCTCTCGTGCTCACTATTGTTTATGCTAACATACGAGGTATATCCAGTGGACTACGATCCGATTGAACACTTGAATGCCGTTTTCTCCCATCCATCCACCCTCTCCTCCGTTTCTCAGATCGCCGACGCCCTGAACGAATGCGAAGATGAGCTGGACGATGACATCGGCATGCTGGTGGAGGAGCAGGTCACCTCCAATGCCGATAGCGTGGAACGAATCCAGGCAGCTAAGGCTGACCTGTCGGAGCTGTTTAAGAAGATCGATGACGTGCGTGAGCGCGCATTGAAGACCGAGCAGGCAATCACCGACATGACAGCCGACATCAAGCAATTAGACAACGCCAAGAAGAACCTCACACTATCGATGACGGCGCTTAAGCGCCTACAGATGTTGACTACGGCATATGACCAGCTCCAAGCTCTTAGTCGGACGCGACAATATGGAGAATGTGCACATCTACTTCAAGCTGTCATCCAGCTCATGGCCCATTTCAAGTCATATCGATCGATTGACCAAATCGCAATGCTAAGTCGGAATGTCGCGGACATACAGCGAGACCTCCAAGAGCAGGTCTGTGAGGACTTCGAGCTGGCCTTCGCCAAGGGGGAGGTAGGCTCGAAGCGTGCGATGCTTGCGGAGTCATGCCAAGTCGCAGATGCCCTGGGTGAACACGCACGGTCCCGGCTGGTGACATGGTATTGCAATACACAGCTCCGTGAGTACCGGCAGGTCTTCCGGAACAACGAGGAGGCTGGATCATTGGACAACATCTCTCGGCGATATTCATGGTTCCGGCGCATATTGAAGATATATGATGAAGAAAATGCGGCCATCTTCCCGGCTTCGTGGAGGGTAAATGAGGTATTAGCCAATGTCTTCTGTGAAGGTACACGAGAGGATTTCAAGGGTATTTTATCCCGGTCTGTACGAAGCGGACAGACAATCGATGTCAATTTGCTCCTCTCGTGCTTGCAAGAGACGCTTGATTTCGAGCATTCTCTTGAACGCCGCTTCGCCCCTTCATCCCGTGCATCTGTTGATACATTCGCCTCTGCCGAGCCGCCTGTATTCAACCAGTCAATTTCCGAGGCTTTCGAGCCGTACCTCAGTGTCTGGGTCGAGGCTCAAGACAAGCAACTCGCAGCCCTGCTACCGAAATACCGCCAACAACCACTCAAAGTACCGGACGAGGAGTTCAACTCGCACATTGTGATTTCATCTTCGACCGAGCTTTTCACTTTCTATCGTCACGCGTTACAACAGTGTGCCAAGCTCTCAACTGGTGGCAGTCTGGCCGAGTTGGCCAAGGTGTTTGCCAAATATCTGGACCAATATGCCCAGCAGGTCCTTCTCAATTATATAAGTGAACGACCGACAGTTCACACGCCGTCTAGGGTGCCCTCGGTCGAAGATTACGTCTCAGTTTTGAACACTGCCGATTACTGCTACACGACTTGCTCCCAATTAGAAGAGAAGATTAGGGGTAGATTGGATGAAAACCTGAAGCAATCCGTGGATCTGCAAAGTCAAGCAGACTCTTTCATGGGCATTGCCTCTGCTGCTGTACGGGGTCTTGTGCGCCAAGTCGAAGTCGACCTCGAGCCTTCCTGGCGCGAGATGCGCAATACACCTTGGGCTAAAATCGAGGCAGTCAGTGATCAGAGCTCATATGTGGGCGAGATGCTCTCTCGGACGAAGGAGAAGGCAACTGGGATTTTACAGTTGTTGCATAAGCAGCAATATGCGCGTGCCTTCTCCGATCATCTGATTGAACACATCTCGAGCCAGTTCATTAGCAATGTCTTCCAATGCAGGCCGCTTTCAGAAACCGGCGCAGAACAGGTATGAAGTCCCCCTGGGATGTAATTACATATATCACTAACTTTATTCATAGATGCTTCTCGATTCCTATACTCTCAAGAGCGGTCTTTCATCCCTGCTACCTGCCCCAGCGCCTGCCGGCTTTGTCAAGCGTGTGAACAGCAGCTTCTTCAAAATCGAAACTCTCCTCAAAACCCTCCAAGTCCGGCCGTCACCACCGGAAGCTCTTGTGCAAGCATACCTCATTCACATTGCCGACCGCAACAACAACAACTTCCGCAAAATCCTCGATCTCAAAGGCATCCGCAGCCGTCAAGATCAAAACCACCTTGTGGAGCTCTTCCAGCTTCACCGTGCATCGGATCGATATGCATCAAGCCTCCAGCAGAGCAACCCAATCCTCGCTGCTCTCCAAGGGCCATCTGCCACCGCTACCGGATCCGTATCCCAAGGTCTGGGCCTAAGCGGCGCCGCCGCAGCCATGCCCTCCCGTTTTGACGCATCCATGCTCGGCTCTGCCATTATGTCCGCTGCCAAAGACGGCGTCGACCGCTTCGGAAACCCCAGTCTGAGCACTCTGGGTGCTGGTGTCGCTGGGGCTACTGGGACAGCTACATCTACATCTGGCGTGACCAGTCCATCGGGCGCATTGTCCCCTTCCCTGGCCAGCTCTACCCTACAACATAATCCCATGCAAACGCCAACAGAAAGTACAACAGGAAATCTCAATGAGAACCTGAAGAACATTGGTAAATTCTTCCGCCGCGATCTCGGCGGCTTTGGAGGTCGGTTCGGGCGGAGTACTGAGGACGGGGCGTAGATCCCCTCGCCTATTTTCATTATGTCTTTTTCTTTCTGGTTATATCTTGACTCGGGCGTGGACACACCATTGTAGAAATGTTCTTTGCCGTTTCGGCTGATTTGTTCGGGCCATTGCATGCCCGGAGGTCTGGTTTATGTATGGTCAGGGCGCCCTGTCTTGACCTCATGTTTTGCAGCTGTATACCACTTGGATTGAATGCATTGAATGCGATATCCGTGTTGTTCTGGATCTAATTCGTCTATATTTTTCTATCGCACATACCAAAGTCTAAATCCATTGCCTGGTGTGGGTCATTTTTCTTCGAATATATTCCCTTTTAGTCCACGCCCTTCCAATGACATGTCGCGATAAGGAAGTGTTCCAAGCAATAAAATATAGATCTATATCGAGTTTACCCCTAGCCACCCACGATCACTTTTTTTTCCCTATTACAATATAAATCCAACCCATCAAAACATCCACTGCACAATGAATCCCCAAACCCCCCAAGAACTCCAATCCCCGGGATACACACTACGCACCCACCGACCAGGGGATATAGGCCAGATAATCCACCGCCACGCAGCACTATACGAAAAAGAACAAGGCTGGGGCACAAAAATGGAAGCGCTAGTATGCAAAGTGGGCGCAGAATTCCTCGATAACTACGACGCATCCACTGACCGGTGCTGGATCGCCGAGCGCAACGACGAGTTCCTAGGCTGTATAGTTCTCATTCGAGACAGAGAACTCGTCAACACGGCCAAGCTTCGTCTCCTCCTTGTTGAGCCCAGCGCGCGGGGCCTCGGGCTTGGTAGTGCTTTGATTCAGCAGTGTACGCGGTTTGCGCGCGAGACGGGGTATGCGCAGATTCGGCTTTGGACGCAGAATGTGCTTGTTTCGGCTAGAAGACTGTATGCAAAGGAGGGTTATCGGCTTGTTAGTTCAGATGATCATGGGGCTTTCGGGGAGGGGCATTATGGGGAGTGTTGGGAATTGGATTTGTGAGGGGGATGTTTCCTTCCGAAAAGGGAAGGTGGGTCTACATATGGCGTGTGCTGATATATCATGTCGAAAGCCATGTTACAATACATGACTGGGCCCCATAATAATTGCATATAAAGCTTAGTCAGTTATGTCCGAGCAGATTGTCAAATAGTGGATTTTTGTCATTTTAGCCAGAGTCATACACATCTGTCATTTTTACCATACATTGCTGTACCCGAGATTTCTGCCATATAATATATGAATCTGTTTCCTTTTTCTTCTTTTCTGCAAATATTATCTCGAGATCAGGGTTTCTATAAATGAGCCTTTATGATCTTAGGAGGCGTGTACAATGTATGATTTGCGATGTACCACCTTGGGAGAGCTACATGTGCCAAGCTTAAATAAGGTAAAGTGGGTCAAACTATATGTGCGGCAGTGGTATTGAGGTATATCCCTGAAGTATTGCAGTCATTGTGTCGTATTGTCTATGCGCGCTCAGGTGATCACGATGAATTTAGGACCAAGCCAGCGTGATCATAAAGAACAAGGACTATCGCTTGTTGCAGTTCATAAATGGGCCCAGACCCCAGACCCAAAGCCTAACCCTCAGTGGGCTGTGGGCCTCACATTTGAAGCCCAGCCCAATCCACTGCCCATTCATGGGAGTCTTGGCGCGTATAACCTGGCGTCTTATAAGCTGTATTCTAAGCTTCTACTAATCATATAGAGTTTAAGTTTGGAACTTAGAATTATAGTAGCTATGTAAGTATATATTTCAATTTGAAAATTCGATGGAGATTGAGACACAGCAGAAAAGGTTGATATATACATGCAGTTGTGATTTGTACAGGATAAGTGAACCTCTGTAGTTTATAAATCACGCGTTTTATCGCGTTTTATCGCGCTTTGAAACGAGGGTAATTAAAAAAGTCGCGTTTTTCGGAACTTTTGTATTGTTTGGGGCCCATTGGGCCCCCACGAAAGCCCAATAAGCCCTTACCCCGGGCCCACGGCCCATCGGTGAGCCTAAGGACCGGTCCCAAAATCCAGCCCATTGGTGGGTTGGGGCGGGTTGGGCTTTGGGCTTTGTGAGCTTTGCGGAGGTCTAGTTGCAGTCATGTGAGCCAGCCCCTCTTTAATTAGGTCCATAGGTAGATGAATGTTTTACCTTCTTCCATCCTATAGCTCGTACCGGTGCTCGTGATATTTCTCGCTCTTACAAGACAGAGCATTTTCATTTTGCTTCTCTGGTTGATCATCATTCCAAATGGAAAGCGCTTTCGGCAGGTGGGTGGTTCATGGCAATCTCGTCATGTCTTAGGTCTAATGCTCTTAGATAGGTATCTTTCTTCGCCCTTATTCACCTTTACGGTAGGTGCCGATAAGAAGCAAATTACCGTTCATTCTTCTGCTTTTGCGGGGCTTTCTCGAAGCCTGAATGCTCTCATGAATGGCGAAATGATGGAGGCAAAAACAAGACACGTTGACTGGTCAGAGGTCGACGTTGACACATTCGCTCGGTTATGTGAATTTGCCTATTGCCGAGATTACACTCCCCCTTCATTTCGCCTCGTTGCTGGCAAGTTTCCTCGCTTTAATTTGGGCTCGTACGACGCTATACCGGAGCCTGAGCCGGAGCTGGAGCCTATACCTGAGCCTGAACCGGAGCCCATCCCTGCGTTTCGCTATAGATATGCGTCCCTTCCATCCAAATACCCTCCGTCCGATCCCTTCTCCAATGATGATCCTGAAATGCCATACAAGGAAAGAAGTTTCTGGACTAAACAATTGCACAATGCATTTGAAGGGAGCCTTGTCGTCTCAAGCCAAAGTGAGGACTTGGGTGATACTTTCACACCCCCTAAAAACACCGGGTCTTGGGAAGATTTCACCCCTGTGTTTCTCGAACAAGCCCGACTCTATGTGCTGGCCGACAAATATGGCATAGAGCCGTTGAGCCAGCTGGTCCTTTCCAAGTTGTATCAAACTCTGAAAAGCTTCAAGCTATATGACACGGGGGTCAGTGGTATTGTGGAGCTTGTTCGATTCGTCTACTTGAACACGCCACCAAGTTACGATAGTAAGCTTGACGCCCTGAGGAATCTAGTGACATGTTATGTTGTTTCTATTCTTGGACAAATTGGTGAAAACGAAAGTTTCCAGGAGCTTTTGGAAGAAGGTGGTTCTTTCGTCTCTGATTTCTGGCGTATCATTTGGAGAGTCGATCAACCCTCTTCTCGCTTGAAATAACATTCCTAGGAATTGTGGGATTATCGTGCGGATTATCACCAACTAAAATGTTGCGAGAGCCTCGGGATCCACTGAAGGTTACTATTCAGGTGTTGTAGACTTAGGTTCCAGAGATAGCTTCTTCTAACAGTCATTCGTATTACTGATTCATGCAATTTCTAGCGTCGTCCGCAGCAGAGTCAAGTCTGACCGCGGTCCATGTCATGTAGTCATAGAAATCGAACTAACAGTCCTCCCCTATCTGGGACCAAAATTATAGCAATCCAAATGTCACCAGCTGGCTCGCGTAAATTGTAGCATTTCACACATGTGTGATGATAGCCTTCGACTCCCCCATCACTGACAGAAACCAGAGCAGTATGTTTCTTGGTTTTTGGCATTCTATGGCGATCAAATTACAAGAAGCTCTTGCTTAGATAGCGGAGGGCTAACACAATTCTGGCCACATCTCAAGCCTGTGAATCTGTGCTTTGAAAAGCGGTGTTAAAAGCATATCTTCAAGGGCTCTGAGCTCATGCTTGCAGGAAATAAGTAAAGTAATACTCTTCCCTTCTGTGAGCTTGATTGGTTAGTAATGGCGAATGATGACGAAGATAGTGGTAGATGACAGGGATCTATGTGACATCAGGCAGCCGCGCACCCCACCCTGACCCTTGGTTTGGGGGCCAAACGCCTAGATCAGATAAGATCGGACCAGGATGCCATTCCCGACGGTGTTGGTGTTTGAATGCATGGTCTTTAGTAAAGAAAAAAAAAGATAAGACAACAGATGATCCGGAAGAGACGGAAATGATTGTTGATCCCTGCACTTTTGGAATATTATTTCCAAATAGTCTGCGGAGTATACTATACCGTTGTAGTTACCTAGTCCGACCAGGTATTATAAATTATTAAAATCATTGCTTTTCCCGTTTTTCTTCTTTTCTTCTTTTTTTTGACTAACGAACTGTTCGATTTTCATTCCATTTATTGCTTCTTATGTTGTTTCTTACATCGACGTTTAAAATTAAATGGAAAAACCAAGTGCCCCCGAGCTAAGCGAAGCACCGATACACACCGATCCCGATCCTGCAAACGACGAATTACTCGTAAACTGGAACGGAATAGATGACCCCGACTGTCCATTCAATTGGACCCTGTCCAAACGATGGGGCATCACTTTACCATGCTCTATGGGGGGCATGGTGACCCTGATGAGCGCATCTATGTTAGCACCGGCGTTGGGCAATATTGGTGACGACCTCAGCATCAGCGAGAGTGAAGCCAACATGGTAGTCTCGATTTTTGTGCTTGCTTTTGCCTTTGGACCGATGGTTCTCGCTCCCCTGGCTGAAGTATTTGGTCGTCGATGGGTATGGATCCTTTCTTCAACCTGGTATCTGCTGTGGAACACAGTCTGCGGCTTTTCTCAGACCAGGGGCCTTCTACTGGCTGGACGAATTCTGAGTGGCCTGGGAGCCAGTGCAGAGTATGCGATCTCAACCCCGGTTCTGGGGGACTGTTGGCCTGCAGAGCAGCGCGGCCATTCTTTTGCAATCGCAACTTTCGTGCCTTTGTTGGGTCCAGCTATTGGACCTATCCTCGGCGGTATCATCACGACAAAAATCGGATGGAGGTAGCTTTTCTGGGTCATTTCCATTTTCGATGGTGCTTTGATTGTTTATGCACTCTTCTTCTTTCCGGAAACTTATCACCGTTTGTTGCTTCATCGAAAGGCTCTCAAATTGCAAAAGGAGACGGGCAGGCCTTTCCATACCAAAACCGATATTCACAGCCAACCACTGGGAAGAAAGCTCTGCTATAGTCTCGCACGACCGTGCTGGATGCTAGCGACCCAGCCGACTATTCAAATCATGTCTGTCTTTCTCGCCTACAACTTTGGCGTTCTCTTCCTGGTCCTCACCAGCTTTGCCTCCCTCTGGAGAGACAATTATCATCAATCGGTGTTAATCAGTGGTGTTCACTATGTCGCTCTTGTGGTCGGCTACACCGTCGCCGCTCAAGGTGGCGCTCGTATCACCGACTGGCTCTGGAAGTACCTTACACGCAAGCGAGGACAAACTGCACCTGAATATCGAATTCCCTTGATGATCCCAGGAATTTTTTTCCTGATAGCTGGTCTGTTTTGGTACGGTTGGTCAGCGGAAGCAATAGCTCCATGGATCGTGGTCGACATTGGAGCAGCGGTGTTTGGCTGTGGAGTGATCCTCAGTACTCAGGCCATGCAGCAGTATGTAATGGAATCTTACAGTGAGTATGTAGCATCGGCAAATGCGTCCAGTCAATTCTTACGAAGTATCTTCGGGTTTTGCTTCCCTATATTCGCGCCAGCTCTGTTCGATCGTCTTGGATATGGATGGGGGAACAGCACTTTGGCGTTCATTATGATAGGTTTCGGTGTACCAGCGCCTTTTATCATATGGATATATGGTGCTAGGCTCAGAGAGAAGGGAAAGCAGAGGGCAAAGGGGAAAGTATTCCTAGCTTAGTGGGTCTTACTATAATTTATAATTGATATGGACGGCCACACTGTTCAAATTTAAGTTATCTTATAAAGCGCAAATGGCAAATTGTCTCAGTTAACAGGGTGAATGATTTTACGGTTCCTTCATTTCCCAGGAAATTGAAAGATCGTTTGATAACCCACATTTCTCCAAGCTCGCACTTATGATCAACTCGCAGATGAAGCTGATGACATGGTGTACTCCCTAGGGGTTTAAACCGAACATCCATAAAATATTCAAATTTCAGATCTCATGTACTTCAACTTGATCTTCCAAAATACTCGATGAGGACTCGATTTCCAATCAAGGTTGCATTCAAATGTTGGTTAGCGCCCTTTGACTTAAGATAAGCGGTCGCATGACTCGCCAACATTCCCCTTTTCTCGCCTCAGCCATATCCTACAATTATCCACGTAATATGCTTGAAGAGACCTCACCACTTCTTGGTGGGCAGCGGAAAGTCACGAGATGGTCATCAATTTACTGGTTGTCTGCTGTCATCTTCTGCCTGTCCGCTGCGGGGGCCTTGCTCAATGTACCCCTGACTCAACTCATCGAAAACAACCTCTGCAGTCGATATGCTGAAGGCGCCCCAACTAAAGAGCTCTGCAAGACTGATAAAATCCAGTCCAAGTTGGCTTATCTAAATGGCTACCTCCCCCTTGTGGAGGCTGTAGTTGGTACGGACCATGCATGGTTATCTGCCTTAGCATCAAGCTATCCGATGCTGACGGGTTGCTATAGGTCTTATTGTGGCGTTTCCATTTGGAGCTTTAGCTGACAGGTTCGGACGATCTTTGAATTTATTTGAAAGAAATGAAAACTGATTTGTGTGTAGAATCGGTCGAAAACCCATCATTATTCTGTCAACGTTTGGAACATCACTATCCTTGGCCTGGGAATTAGCTGTAATTGCTTTACCTAGCATCATTCCAGTTCAGTTCATCCTGGCTGGTCCATTGTTTGCTATCGTCGGTGGTGGAAATACCGTGCTTATCGCTAATCTGTACTCGATCGCGTCCGATTTGGTAGTTCAATCAGACCGGTATGTTTTGATAGACACCCATCTCGATAAATCATATGAATATCTAACATATACAAAAAGAGCTTCCACATTCTTCCTCATGGCATTCGCCAGTCTGGTCGGTGCCTCTGTTGGGCCAGCTATTTCCTCCATCTTTATGGAAATATTCTCACCTTGGGTTTCAACCTTCATCGCCTTCTTGACCAATCTGGCCGCTCTAATCCCGCTCTTCTTCGTTCCCGAGACATTGTCACCATCAAAGCAAGACTCCACCTCCGAGCAAGATCATGCCGAGTCAGAAGAAGGGTCTCGTAGCTTCCGATCGCGCGTATCTCAGTCCCTTCACCTCGGCTCTTCCATCGCATTGCTGAAGTCACCTTCTTTGATTCTGGTCTTGGCCACATTTCTCACAGCTGTACCCGAGGCCCTAAGTACTTCACAGTTTTTGGCACAGTACATTAGCAAGCGCTTTGATTGGCCTCTCTCCAAAACAGGCTATCTTTTGACCCTCCGCGGGGTCATCCATATGGGAGTCCTGCTCTTTACACTTCCTCTACTCTCCAAGATACTCTTGCGACACCAGCGTGCACCTGTCAAAGATTTGATGCTCGCCCGTGCCTCAGTTGCAATTGCCGCCGTCGGAGCATTCTACATGGCTGCATCACAGATAGGATTGGTGATCGCTGGGCTAGCGATTCATAGCCTGGGATCGGGTCTGGCCCCGCTGTGTCGCTCGCTAGCAACCAGCTATGTGGGACCAGAGGACACGTCCAAATTAAATACGGCCATCGGTATAGTTATAACAATAGGGTCTCTGTTCGCTGGGCCGGCACTTGCGTGGTTATTTGAGACGGGAATGGAACTAGGAGGTGTGTCGCTTGGGCTGCCATATTATGGGCTGGCAGGGTCGTTCGTGTTGTGCCTGGTGGGCTTGATGTTTGTTCATCCTCCTGCACAGGGAGAGGAGATCGATGAATCCTAGCTCAATTGGTACCTCCTTTGTGATAAGGCCAAAGCGGGATTTGCATGGATTTACAGATGATGATTCTTGCCTACGGGCAAGGTCATTGAGCATTAAGTTCTACACTGGGCAATCTAAACAACCCAAATAACTAGAAAGCTAGACCGGCTGCCCACAACTACTTGAGAAGGGTTCAAGCTTCTCAACCTCTATCTCCTCATTCCAACCTCCTTTAACTTTGCCATCCGCTTTCACATCTCAAATTATCTGCGCACTCAACACAGTCGAATGTAAAATCTAGCTGTCGCGATGGGCTAGGAGTATATGACAAATAAATTTGGTCAACCCATGGATATGACCTCGGGAGTGATCCATGGATGGATATACAAGACGATTCATAGTTACGTCATATATCAAGGACGACCAGCTCTTCTCGGACCTTTTCTCGTATTGGACTTCGTAAATATCCGCGAGTTTTGTTTAGCAGGAACCCCATAGTTTCCACTAGAAACAGTCAACAAAGATCCATCATTCACCAAACGCAGAAATAGAGAATGCAAAAGAAGGGGTCTCAAGATACTCCTGCACACCATCCCTTCGCGCAAGTCAAATTACCTGTGCGCTCCTTGTCATCTCATGTTCACCATATAATCAAGGACGATGGCAGAGAGATGGGAGATTTTGAGAGCCCTCACATCCTCGATAAACTAACCAATATCGTATCCGGGTGGGGATGGTTGACACCTGAACATGAGGGTGGTTCTCCTTCGAGAACAACCTTGTCAGGTCAAGGTTCTCTGGGACTTGCGGGCGCTTCTCCTCTACAAGAGAAGGCTACGCATTCCTATGAGTCAGATCAGAAGCAAAGAATTACAGAGGGAGCATTGCAGACATCGATCAAGGATTATGGGAAATTCAAGAAAGTCCTCTATTACGACGACCTCAATACTGTTGAATTATACGAAAAGAAAGTACCGGTTTTTGACCAAACCACATCGCCAGCAAATCCCACGCAGAGTCATATACTGGGGAGAATGAGGCGAGCTTCTGCATCCGATACAATTAAGGAACTCTATGCAGTCAAAGTGTTTCGCCACGCCAAAACCACCATGTTTCCACCAGCCAAGCCGCTCCAAAACCCAAGTCGAAATGTTTCTCTGTGCCACCCTAATATTGTCCCGATCATCGACATTCTCTATAATAAGCAACGGAATCTTTGTCTTGTTGTGCCGTACTACGCTGGCGGCAATCTACACTCTTTTCTTTCACAAAAAAGGAAACCAAGCCAGAAACTGTCCACCGAGGAGTTGGACTGTATAGCTATACAAATCCTACGAGCAGTGGCCTTTTTACATGGAAATCATATTACCCATGGCGACATAAGGCCAGAACATATACTCCTAACGATCCAGGGCGCAGTGAAAGTGGGTGGTTTTGGTGAAGACGAAAACGCAATTCGAGAACTAGCCCAACTATCACATAGTGGTAATCTCACATCATCCTCTTCGGCACAAAACTCCAACTCAGCTCTGGATTCTCAATCTAAGCCGAACCTGTGCCTTCGGAGACGGGTCTCGGATTCCAGTGTTCCTTATCTCCCTCCCGAGAGATTTTCCAGCCGCCGTGGCTCTCGCCGTCAAAGCTATCCAAATCAAGACGTCTCTGCTTTCAAAGCGGGAGATATATGGGCATGCGGCATAATCTGCATGTTACTACAATCCGGCGAATTTCTCTGGCACAGCGCCCAGAGAGTTGATCCTGATAAATCCTTTGCCGATTACCTCCACTGTCGTCTGGAGAAACATGGCTATAGACCCATACAGGTCCTTGAAAAGGTAAGTTATATCTATCGTCTATTCCTAGTGAGACTGGGCATGAGAAACTTATCTAATACCTCGGAATTCAAAAGCGTCACCGAAATGTGGTCTACGCGATGTTGCATCCCGATTCGGGGTCGAGAATCACTGCAGCAGAGGTCATGGGATCTGAGTGGGCCCTTGGAGTTGCTGTTTGTGTGGCTGGGGATATGGGGTTGTGATTTTAAGATTCCATTTTTTATGACTTCCATATGTATGTAATAATGCAAAATGTAAAGGCTTCTTGTAGGTTGAGTCTGCACCCGAATAATATTGGAAGCTATATGCGATAGATCTCCCTAGCTCTTTGGCCCATCAAGATTTGAAATGCTTAGCAAAACCGAACATGTGTCTAGTCTCCTGCAGGGCTATATATTACCCCAACTTAGGTATTTGATTGACATCACTCGTTTGAATAAGCTTGAAGTGACTAAACCGAGCTGGCAACATAACCAAAAGTCAACCACCGTGTCTAGCTCAATGATTCGTATTAATGCTTCCGAATGCATCGGCTTATTCTGGATATTCGTAAAGACATAATCTAATTGCGTGTCAGGAGGAAAAATTTTATATGGGGCAAAGGCAGTTAAGTGGTCAAATTTATTCCATATCTACTCCTGGGGCTGGGGGACCAAATCGGCGATGCATATTCCTTTTTTGGGTAAAGGTGATCCACTGTCGACAGCGCACAATTGATTACAATTGATTCAAATAAATTATACATTTAGCTCGGGTCAGAGCCTTGTATATTATGCTTCATATTTGTCCAGGCTTCGAGTCAACGACTGGCTACTCTGGCCATCGATATCTATATACTTCCTGGATGATATATCTGAACCGAGAGCAGACCCTCTCTTACTGTGACGGGCCCCCTGCATTTCGAATTCGGGCTCATTTGCTGATCTCTTTTGATGTCCCGGCCACGACGGCCCAGTTGATCCAGTTCCTGATGCGGCTTGCTTCGACTTCTTCTTCTGTCCCTTCAGGAGTCCGTACAGGACGGGAGCATTTGCTACGATAGCGGCAGCGAGTAGCTCGACAGACGCCCACGTCGTTCTATTCACTTGTACAGTGGAATTTTTAGCGTTTTGAGGCAGTCTAGCAATGGTGATTGCGACGATGAAGAGGCCGACAGCGAAGAGGATGGCTAGTTGGATTTTCCTGAAGAGACCGCATCAACAAGATGCATGGTTGAGGTAGGTCGGGTCAAGCTTACTCAACAACAGATCGTTTAACTATAACCAGAACTGGAATCGGCAAGGCGATAAGCATAACATCGGTGATGATATTTAGGACACCTGAGGAAACTCGAACGTTAGAGATGTAATAATTTGAAACGAACTTCCTCACAGAAGGCATACCGAGCACGATTAATTGGAGCTGTGCCTGGCAGCATATGCCTGCATTGTGTTAGAAGGTTCAACAGATACGACAAACAAAGAAAAGGAATACCAGGGTCCGGCAATACGATCCAGTAATGATTGAATGGATCGCACTCGGTGAAAGTCACAATCTGGACGACTATATACGTCACTGCGAATATCCCGATATACGAAATCATCGTGACCTTCTCCCAGCGAAGGTGTGTGAGCAGTCTGCCGTAGGTATCAAGCAGAACCAACTTCTGCAACCAGAGACTGAAAGAATAATGAGTATAAAAAATTACTAGGTGGACCCTGAATTCCATGTAACCGATGACGTACTAGGAATTATAGAACACTCGATTGACGAGCACAAATTTGCTCGCGATCTCTCTACGACGGATCTCGTCGGGTGTGAAATGATGCGTATTTCTGAACGTCGTAGACATATTATTGGTTCCCCAGATGATAATGACATGTACCAAGGCGAGTCGTACGAGCGCACAGAGGATTGCTCCCATTGCGAGATAATCGCCCAGGACAAACTGGAATCTCTTCAACTTGCGTACTAGCAGCCGAAGGATAATTAAGACAATTGCCACCCATGTAAATACCCACAGAATTATAAGAGTGGGATCCATGGCTGTTGAGGAAGAAAAGAGTGACAGAAAAAGAGTGTGACAGTAACAAGGAGATGATGGCGAACTATATTAAAGGGGAGGACGTTCCAACCATTTTTCTCGTATTACTCATAATATCCATAGAAAGAGATTTCAAGAGAATCTACCGTTACAAAATCTTAGAACAGGGGTGAAGTCCAAGGTTCACTTGGCAAAGTCTAAGGGCCGTCTCTTCATTTCGCTTCTGTTCCCCATGGGGCCAATTGACATCAAAGCTCCCCACCGCGGAGGAAATTCGGCAAAATCATCTTAGCATTTGCTATAAATTGAGTAATAAAACCTTATTCTTGTTTTGATCCCCTATCCTCTCAAGATGCATCTCAAAATAGGTTTATTATTGATCGGGGCAATTGTTGCCGCTTCAGGCTGGTGCAGTGAGGTGCCAGCCCAGCGATCGTACATGTATGTTGGAGGACAATATATTCTGAATAGTGCTGGCCAGCATGTCTTCGCCGATCAAATGTATGTGGAAAAACTAACTCCGGTCGCGGGTGTTACTAAACCATATCCAATTGTCTTCATCCATGGCCAAGCTCAAACAGGCACTGTAAGTATCATTGAAGTCACCGCTTCTTTCATTTCCCAGATCTTAACCGTGATGCTGGCAGAATTGGCTCAACAAACCTGACGGAGGAGAAGGCTGGGCCTCTTACTTCCTCTCTCAAGGATATGCATGCTATATCATCGACCAAACCTTCCGCGGCCGCAGTGCCTGGTTCCCTGGCAATGGGACGATGAGCACCTACAGCGCTGAGCTGTTACAGCAACGCTTCACCGCACCAAATTTATACAACCTCTGGCCGCAAGCATCGCTACATACCCAGTGGAACGGAACAGGCATTATGGGCGACCGAAATTTCGACACATACTATTCCTCGACAGTCGAGTTCCTCAGTTCAGCAACCTACCAGCAATCAACCGTGCAGGCCGCCGGCGCTGCCCTACTCGACACCATCGGATCCCCCGTCATCCTCCTCTCCCACTCACAGGGCGGAGCCATGCCGTGGCTGATTGCAGATGTGCGACCAAAGCTCGTCCACTCGATCGTCTCGATCGAACCCACCGGCCCTCCTTTCCAGGACGCCGTCTTCAGCAACTCCTCTACGCGCGCCTACGGACTTACCGATATCCCGATAACCTACTCACCAGCCCTAGCCGATCCGGTTGACCTCGTGAAACATGTTATCCCTTCCAACTCGTCGTTGTATTCAGACTGCGTAATCCAGGCTGATTCCCCCGCACCGAGAAAACTCGTCAACCTTGCAAAGGTGCCCGTCTTGGTCCTGACGACTGAATCGTCGTACCACGCGCCATATGACTGGTGCACGGTCCGGTTCTTGCAACAGGCGGGAGTCCCCGCGAAACACCTCCAGCTGGGGGATATCGGTATCCATGGGAATGGACATATGGTTTTCATGGAGAAGAATAGTTTGGAAGTTGCTGCTGTTCTGCAGCGGTGGATGGAGCGGACGTAATTTGTAGGATGCAAATCATTTTTCTTCGCTACTCTACCTGGTCTCTGCCAAAGCATGTGGTTCTTCTGGAAAGTGCTCAGAGTTTGAAATAAGAGCTTGTGCCTCCACCTCATATTCTGAATTCTGAAGTGCTCTTTGTAATACCTCTTCAGCGAGGTCTCTTTCTTCGGCCCTTCACTCCAGGCTATCTCGATCAGATTGGGCGAGTAATTATTCAGGCTGCCGTGGGTTGCTTGTGGGACTTTCCTCCTGTCGATTCCTCTTGGACTTTATCCGTCAAATCGGAGTTATCTCACTTTCTGCGAGTTGTACCTAGTAGAAGAAAGAAGAAGTAAACAGTACAATTTATCCATTTCGCACTTCCTGCAACTGTTGGTGACTAATGAGGGCTAACTACACATGGGATGAATGTTCTATAGTATAGGGACAACGATCATGCTTATTGAGTATCAGAGAAACCCCCGCAAGTGTGGCCGAGTGGTTAAAGTACTTAGCGTCCACGCGCCCTGGAGCGGGTAGCTGGCGGATGGCAGGTACCCGCCCACGGGCCCCGGGCCCCGTTTATACAGGCGGGGCGCTCACATAGAAGAAACGGCAGTAAGTTGTGCCTACGTATTAATGAGCTTGTAGATTTTGGAAACCACTTTCCTCTCATAAAATCCATTTTACTTAATGTTCCTAAGCAAGCTATCATAGGGTCGTCTACTGAAACCATCCTAATATCTTCTGTAGTCCTATAACTTATGATAGCTCTCTAATGGTAGCCAATTAATCGAGTGCAAAACAACCTCTTTCGCCAGAGGTCTTCTTGGTTGTTAAACATGTAGTGAAAGCCAGCTATAGTTACAGGGAAAATGAGCCACAAAAAGAGGATCGAATCTCATTATTGGTGAAAGCCCAGTAGGTTGACGTGTTTGCTTCTGACATTAGAGTCATTGTACATACCGATAAAAGGGTCTGAAGGGTCCTGCTTGATTTGACGAAGAGCATCAATGATCTTCCGGAGCTCATGGCAAACCGAGATACGATGATTCACGTCCATAGAGTCCCATGCCTGCTCTAGAGTTTGACCCTGAAGATATTCCATAAAAATGAATGTTTCGCCTCCATCAATGGACCACCCGAAGACCTGCGGTACCGGGATATCGTCGAACTGGCCGATAGCAAAAAGACTATGAGCTTCAGAGATCTTCACTTCTGTGCCCCATTTAACGAGAAGATTTTTGTTTCGGAAAACGCGGGCGGGGGTTTGCCCTGAGGGGTTTGCCTTAAGGACCTTCCTCGTTGATGTCGAAAAAAGTCCTGCTACTGATGGTAGTTCCGGCACCGGGTTGAGCTCTGGCGTTCGCGCGAACCTCGTATGGAGAAGGAGGCTAACCCCAGTTCCTCGAGTAGGAAGAGTCCGGGATAACGAGATCTAGAGACATTGGTATCGAAGGTATTTTCCGTATGGGGCCTTTTGTGGCCACATTGTTGAAGCCGGATGGTCGAAATAGTTGGATATTAGGAGTCGGATAGGAAACTGAAAGGTGCAAAGTGACAGGTCGTAGGGAAGTGCCCGGAAGTTTGGTGTAAAGAAGGTGCATGTACCTTTCGTATGGAGTCGCCATACAAAAGATACAAAATGCTACGATTTACTACCCGCTGGGCATACATGGTGCTGGGCACGCCACGAGTACTCGGGAGCTGACCATTACGAAGAACAAATTTTTGGAGAACGATATTTTCATTGAGCAACCATCTATTACGGCAGCTGCACAAATAGAGATAGCGAACAGGATTTCCGACAGCCTCCAACTACAAAATTGTCTACGGCGACAACATATCGGCACTACTATCGCAGGTCGAATGAAGAGCATCTGTAATCTTGTCACAAGTTAGCAATTGTTTGCAAATTGAGGAGTCAAAAGTCAAAGTCAAGAGCATGTGTGAGGGTAAAGGCATGGCGTCATCAAAAAATTAGAGTGTTGTTGTTGCATTATTTTAATCTTCAGAGCGCCCCGGAGGGGGGCGTAAATGCTCGGGGTTAAAAATTTATAATCATCCGCCAGGGTGATGTGAGGTGGTGTGGGTGCAAGGGGGAGGGGGGGAAGAGTTGAAAACTCACCAATTCTGCGGAAACAAACAATGGGCGTAGCTACGTCCATCATACGAGTCCTAGGTTTCCGAAGGAAATCCATTGCCAAGACATGTTGTTTCATTCCCGGTCGCTATTTCAAGCTCCCGTTCAAGTAAATCTAATACATGGCATTCGCATCCCGTCGAGGAAGCGCTTAGTCGAAGAGACCGAAGCCCATGTCCTCATCGGACTCCTCCTCATCCTCAGCGGGAGCTGCGGCGGCAGGGGCGTCACCACCGGAGGTGGCGGCGGCGGCGACAGGGGCAGCAGAGGCGTACGCATCGGGGTTAGCGATGCGGTCCTTGAGATCCTCAATCTCAGCCCAGCTGTAGTCGGTGCTGATGGCAGCAGCAAGGACCTTCTTGTATCCGTTGATGAGGGAGTGGATAACGGAGGGAAGGGTGGGGTAGTTGGCAGCCAGGGAGACAGCAGTGACGGTAGCAATAGCCTGGGAGAAGGCGCTCAAGAGCTGCTCATCGGTGATGTCGAGAACCTCGGCGCCGAAGCACTGACCGTTCTCGTAGACCTGGGTGATGGCCATACCGTAGGTGAACGGAGAGATGTTCAGCAGGTTAAGGAGGGTAGCCTCGGAGGCACCGACCTTGTTGCCAGCCTCAACGAGCTTGAGGTCGGAAACAATCTCAATGGTACCACGAGCAATCTTGGTGGGGACACCGAGAGCCTGGAAGAAGGCGGTCTTACCGGGCTCCATACCAGTGTTACCACCGGGGATCCAGACATCATCAGGGGCGATGGCACCGGCACGAGCGGGAGCAGCGACACGGTTGGCAAGGATCTTCTCCTTGATGGACTTGAGGTCACCGTTGGTGAAGATGAAACCAACGTTGCCACGGACGTGGGGAAGGAGACGCTCCCACTCGGGGTTCTCGGTGACGAAACCCTTAAGGGCACGACGAACCATGGTGTTCTTACCCATCAGGACGACGGCCTCTCCACGGAGGGAGATACGGATCTCGTGCATCTGCTGGGAGCTGACATTGTCAACTCCAACGATGAAGATGGTGCTGTACTCATTGAGACTGTAACACAAGAGTGTTAGAAATTTTGAAACATGTCAATTGCCAGGCGCCATTGAGGTGAAACTAACAGAGTACGCAGCTTCTCAAAGTAAGCAGACTTGGTTGCGGACTTGCCCCCCATTTCTTCTTGATTTCGGTGAAGATAGGTTGTTTAAGGGAAAGTCTGTTGTTGTGGTGGTGAATGGAAGAGAAGAAAAGAAGAGCTTGCCGAGTTGGGGAAAATCAATTTTGGTAGTGCGCTCGCTAGTGGATCACGTGACGTAAAAAGTAGGACCCGCCCAAGATGGACAGACATGGGCGGAATTCGATCAGAGGGATCTCGGGAGCTCTTACTTCTGTTATTTGTTGTCTTCTTGACTACAAGTAGTAAGCGATTGGCAAATTTGTGAGCTCATTGATTATTCCCATTCCGTGAATCAAAGCCCTTCATCATGGCCGGTCTCCAACACCCATTCCAGTGTCTGCGATATGTCAACAGGCAGTCAGCAGGCCAATCGGATATCCTTATCGCTACTGCTGGTCGCAATCTCTACTCTTACGATGCGTCCAGTGGTCAGCGCCTGGATGTGTGGCCTCAACCCGTAGATGCCAATGCGGAGGATAAAAGCTCTGACGCAGCTCCCGCATCTGAAAGCCAAGGCCCCCCAGAAAAGCGAAGGAAGCTATCTTCGACCTCTGAGGACCAGAAGGAGTCCAAATCTGATTCAAAACCTAAGGATTCGAACAAAGAAGCTTCCAACTCCTGGACCAACATTCCTCTCTTGACTGTTGCCCACGGCAAATATGTAGTGATCATGACCTCCGAGGACAAATGTGTTCGAGTCTTGAGCCTGGACAGCGAAGGCAAACTTCAGCAATTGAGTGCTCGGTGAGTGCCTATTTTTCCATCTGCAAGCACGCCAAACTCATCATTTATAGTACAATGCCCAAGAAGCTCTCTGCGCTTACTCTGACTCCCGATGAGAACAACATCTTGACGGGTGACAAATTCGGAGATGTGTACACCTTCCCACTAATTCCGAGTGGAGAGTACGTGAAGGTCCAGGCTCCAGCGAAAGCATATGAGCCAGCCGCTACGAACCTCACGGTGCACACCAAACGCAACCTTGAATCATTAGAGCAACAAATGCGACAGGCTGCTCTGTCGAAGACCAACCAAGCAGAACGAGTTGCGCTAAACTTCGAGCACCAAGTTATTATCGGTCACGTTTCGTTGTTGACGGAGTTGATTTCCGTCACCCGGCCTGCAGACTCGACCGTTGGCAAGCGGAATTACATCCTGACTGCGGATCGTGATGAGCACATCCGTGTCTCTCGTGGTGTTCCCCAAGCACATGTAATTGAGCAGTTCTGCTTTGGCCACACTTCATTTGTTAGCAGTCTGTGCGTCCCTTCGTTCGAACCCAAGGTTCTCATCTCGGGTGGTGGCGACAACTATCTGCTTGTGTGGGACTGGCTCGAGAACCAGATTTTACAGAAGGTTCAGCTTCCTGGGGCAGAAGGAGAGACTACCGTGCGCGGCATTTGGGATGTTTCCCTTGAGCCTACGGCAGGCAATGCCGATCCTGTGAAGGCTATCTTTGTTGCACTTGAAGGGTACGTTCTAATAACCATTAGTGATATCTACAATTTTCCTAACATTGGAAGCAGGTCTTCACAGCTTCTTTGCTACACTCTAGAAAGCGACAACACGATAACTCACCAAGATACCCTCCAGCTGTCAGGAAACGTTCTTGAGCTGATTGGCCTTGATTCAAGAGGCTCTATTCTTGTTGCTGTGGATACTTTGCGGGAATCTGATTCTACAAGTGCCTGGAAGTCGTCCTCCCAGCCTCCTCTCGAAACCTTCCGCCTCAGTTCTGGGAAGTGGGCTCATGTGGAGGACTCCATGGTCGCCAAAATCAACTCCGAGGGCACCTCAAGTCTTCCTACGACAATAGAAGAGAAACAGCTGAAAGAGCTGAATGAGTCCATGTACAGTTTGGGCAACCTGCGGAAGAGAGGTGACTACGACGAATAAAAGCATGCTTTTGATGAATGTACAGCAAATGATCAATTAGAGTTCCAAATACATATGTAATGCAGCAGTCTTTCAAGATTTATCATTCTTCGTCCGAGAGGGAAAAAAGCATAGTCGGAAAAATCGCTTGCCGCGATCGAAATATATATTCGTATGGTTCTATCTATACCATCTTTGTTTCCACTACCTTTTTGGATTTTCTGCCCCCTATTGTGAAGAAACAGAATACATAAAACAGACCCGAGTCAGTACGAGAATGCCATGTAGTATTGCCGAAGTTGACCATCGCCTTTCGGGATATAATTGCTTCTTTGTCTATGGAGCACCCAGTTCACTAGCAAGCCAGAATGTGCCCTGATAGGATGGCCCAGAGGGGCTGAGACATTATCAATTCACCACGGTAGCCTAACTCTGCTGAGGATCTCCCGCGAATGGTCCCATCCAATCGGACCCTAGTCATAGTTCTTAGTTAGACTTATGGTGGTTAGAAGCAGATTAGAGCATCTTTAAGCTCTCGGAGGCTCCGGCGACTCGGCGTTTGATCTACGGGAAAACCATGGGGCTATTATACCAAAGTAATGTTTTTGACCGACGGTAGGAGTCCGCAGGGGTAAGTTCTAGTAAATATAGAAGGACGGATAGGTCAACATCTGATAGAAAAGCTGTCTCACAAGAGACAATATGACCGGTGATATCCATGGCTAAGACACACAAACATATTAATCAATTTGACAACTCGAATTCTAGCTATATTATAATGGATGCGAAATTACCTAACTATTGCCAAAAATTAACAATAGAAAGAAACCTCGGGAAGAAAACGCAGTCATGAATGTACGGGGATAAAGGGTTGCCACTGTGTTTTCTGATGATCACGGGCCGCGGTACCCGGGGAGCCTTCTTATAATCCCACTTCTCCCCCTCCATCCCACTTGCATATTCCATCGACAAAATGCAGGAACAATTTGAGCCTTTGAAAAACGACTTGCTGTTGAGGGCTGCACGGGGTATGTCTTTTCTGTGTTTTGTGTTTTAATCGGAGCTGACAATCGCAGGTGAGAAGGTGGAGCGTCCTCCGATATGGGTCATGCGACAGGGTGAGTTAGACTTATTCATGCACCACTCCCCCAAGAGCAATTGATTGACATTTTTTCTCTCTTTATTCAACAGCTGGTCGATACCTCCCCGAATACCATGAGGCGAAGGCCGGCCGTGACTTCTTCGAATGCTGCCGCACACCCGAAATCG